GGAGCTTATATGCGTGAAATCGTTTAAACTAGGGACGAAGGTATATGAAGAGCAAGAAATTCCAGTGTGACCAAGGTAACGCTCCAAGCACCTGACTTAACCTGATCTCTAATTGAAACTGAGCAAATATGTTTGTTTATCACTTGACAAAAGTGATCAAGTTATAAGACAAAGCCGCGACAGAAAATGTTGTCGCGATTTTTCTTGTTTCATCCTGTAGTATGCGTTTGGTCAAGAGTTCCAATGAGTTCTTTATCTGGGTTTATGTGACCGTAATAGAACAAAAGTGATGAACGGCAGGCGACTGGACAGCTAAAACATAACCACCAAGTAAGTGTCAGAGCTGAATGGACGGTGTGCTTGGGGCACACTTTGTGACCACCTCGACGGTGCAGACAAGCTGCCAAAAGAGGAGAAAGTTTGAAAAAATTAGCCCAACTAGCTCTACTAGCAAAGCGTCACGCGATAAGAAGTCGTGAACACTCCTTGCAACCGGATAACCGCGTCCACAAAGAAATAAATCAAGGACTCCGCCCCGCAATCTATGTGGGGTAGTTATTCAATTGAGCTAAATTAACAACCGTTAATGCAGATAAATTATTGCGAACTTGGACAACCTTACTTTGTGGGCCCCCACCCGCTCGTCACCCAGCCCGCGGGCGCACGCGGATCGCAGCACTGAGCAGACCAGTTGAAAAACAAACCAACTGACACCAACCGCCAACTACCAACCTGTCGACACATACGGCTGCACCCAGGACAGTGAAGTAAAACCATCTGCGCACAAACCCTCCCACGACAACACCTCTATGCCGGGTAACCTCTCCAAAGCTCCCCGACAGAATACGTGACCACTGATCCACCCCATAGCGACTCGCCGAGACGACTAACATCTGAGGCCTCAATTACTGTGCCGCCAGCAGATCAGAAAAACATACAACGTAGGCATACCTACCCCAACAAATAATGACATACCGACAAACTGATTATTGCACGTCCCTGAGAGCGCACCTCCCACCCGCAACGCACCCACACTGATCGTACTATAGGACCTGGAAATAATAGATGCACATACTCTTGCGCACAGACGCCACCGAATAGCTCACACCCCTCCGATGCAAAGAACTGACCCCTGCGTGTGAAACGCCCAAGCTGACCACGTACTGATGAATTGGATCTACGAACATATCCATAACAGCGGCGCGAGACGAATCCGAAAGACCACACACCAGGACCTAACACAGGAAGCCTTAACGAAAGAGAACTGCGGCCGACCGGTCCCCCCTCCTACCTCCCGGGCCATCGTCGCTCCCTCCCCCCGCAGCACACCCGCATCAATCAGATTGTACCCCTTCCCCGGGGGGCGGGGGCTTAGCAAACCCGCCCCATTGACGACCTAACCCCCGACCCTCCCCGGACACTGCTGATTCCTGACCCCTACACCGCTCAGTCCTGTCCATAACCCCTGACAACCCGACGTCACTCCCCAGACCCCCACCTACCTCCCCTGACCCTCACCCCACAACCCCCCCCCCACAACCTCGACTGCCTGACGATCTCCCCAACCCCCTAAACCATGTCCCTCGACACCCGTGCCGCCACCCGCTCTACCTCCATCTCTCCACCTGATCTGCCGCGTAACCGCTGACCTGGACAACTGCCCGCCCCCCACTGCGAGACTCTCTGATCACACATCTGAACTCCTGCCTACTACTGACCCCTCTGGGCCATGATTCTGGCCACATGACCAGGCTCTATGTCCTGCACATAAGAGCCTCCCACTCTACTTGAAGGGCGCAGCCCTTAACGCCCGCTCGCAACTGACGCCCCATGATTCACGAACTACGCCTGACCCACAACTGTATGCCCCCTGCCCAGGACCTGCCCATCCGGTAGAAGGACGTACTTCTGAACACAGCTTCAAAAAGAAACACCACCCAGCCACGACCCCACCTCGCCGAGATCTACCCGCCTGGTTGTCACTCCTGCCAGCCGCCACGCCCCCTATCGACCTCCTCAACCCCTCATGACCCCATCCACCGCCACCGCACCTGCTATCTCGCCCTCCTCACTCAATCACTATCCCAGTAAACCGCCACAACCACGCAACCCCCCCCACCTCGCACTGATTAAGACCACTTCGCCTACCATCGGAACCCTCGACCCAACGTCCGCCGCCTACACGCGGCCCCCCTCTCCCTCTACACGCATATCCCCAAACCTGCATCCGGCGAAGAACAACTGGGCGCACAACACATACCCACTCCGGCTCACTCCTCCACGCAATGGCACGCCCCGCCCCTCCCACCCGCCTTCAGCCAGATTAGGGGCCACTGACCTGAGAACTGCCCCCTGACTGCACGCTCCTCCATCCCTGACCGAACCACCTTTCCCCACTCCCCTTCCACCTCGTCCCTGAACAACGGCCTGAACACCATCCCACCTCACCCCTGCCCCGCCCCCCCGGTAACCCCCGCCACCTACTGGGCAACTGCACCAAATACTCACCATGTCCGGAAACCCTCCTCCGACCATAAAATGGGACGTATTCCTCTCCCCCGCACCCCCGCACGCCACAGGTCGGAACTCCTGCGGGACCTGAACCGCACGCTCTGCTTAAAAAATCCCTGATACCACCGTGCACTGATGATGTTCCTACACAAGGACCGTTAAACACTAGATGAAATCCGAAAAGCTTGAGTGGTTATCGACCCCCCCGCTGTGGCCTCGAGCTGAGGCCTCCCTCATGGTCATACCTATAATCCAACTGACCAGCCCCCTAGGACCAAGCCAACGCCCTGGGCACACACAAATTGCTCGCATGAATACCCCTGACCCTTGGTTCCCCGCCCCCCGCCCCCATACCTCACCTGCCTTCTAACCCTTTCTCTGCGGTTCTACAACTGTGCCCCGCCAACTACTTGATGCCGCAGCTCCCCTGGCGCCCTGGAGGGCTCCACTCCTGACAAATCGCTGCCAGTCTGCTGAACCCCCTATCACACCCCCACCGCATCTGAGACACTGACTCAACTGCTCCAGGCCGCACTTCCAGCGCAACGCTACCATCCGACCCTGCTGACTCTATGATCCCTCCCGACTCCCCCTAGCCCCCGCTGCTCCACCCTACAACTCCCGGCCCCTGCCCGACCCCCCCAACTCCCCCTCAGTCCAGCAGTCACCACCGGCCCCCCACACACACCCCACGACCCCCCCCTCAAGGTCACTACCACGGACATCCTCTCATGTGATCTGCCCCGAGGGCGCTACCACCATCCTCAGCATACGTCAACCGCCCTTGGTCACCTGCCCAACCCACTGACAACTGAACCTAAACCGCTGAACACTCCGCCGACTGATTTTCTCCTGATCCCACCACCCACCCAAACCGCTTCACCTGCCACAGCAGTTCCACACACTCCCCCTGCCCTGCTGACGCAAATGCGGTTCCTGACCCTCCTTGTATACTTACACCCCCCCAGCCCCTCTACCCGCTTGACAAACTTGCGCCCACACCCTTCATGATCACCTGCTTCACCGCCTCCCGCCCCTGAGACGATACTCCTCACCTCCGCTCCCCTGGCCTCCATCTCCCTATCCCACGACACGGCACCGACTCCACCCTACGGATCCCTACTGCCTCGCCCGCTGCTACCTTCACTGAGACTGGCACTCCCATCCCCACTATCTCCTGCCAACTCCACTGATTCCAGCCGACCCACCTGCTGGACCCCACTCCTTGCGCTGGACTGAAGACGACAGCCTACACCTAACTCCACATCATAAATAAACGGCCTCACTGATCACTGTCGACGACAAGCTGCCTCTACACTACGTGGGACCGCGTATAACAGGCAAGCTGGCCACGAAGGAGAAGTGACCTAACTGCCCAAAATAGAGAACCACCCGCACTCTTAAATCTGACGTGACCCCCACCGCAAGATCTAATCATGCTCGAACTAATCCCGATTGCGGCCGACCCTATGATCAAGACTCCTCTCATGCTGCTGCACGCACTACGGATCTGGCTGATTCTCCGGGCCCGGCCGATCCACTTGACACTGATGACTGCTAACAAACTCGATCTACCAACACACGTATCACACCACTATGATCAGACCGCTGCGTCTGGACACCCCAAACCGCCCTGCTATCCCTTCCCCGCCGCACACCTACGACGCCCTCGCACCATAACCGCAGAACTCTGACAAACGCGTCACCTCCTAGCCGCTCTACTGAACACACTTCCTTTTTAGCTTTGCCGAACTCCGAACTATGCCTCTGATTTGGAAACTAACGGGCGATCTCCCCCTGCTGATCAAACTGACGCGCCAAACAAAAAGCCACAGCTGATGCCGCGCAGACCCACTGCAGTGCGATCTCTCGCCCACACCCTCCCGCCCAGGCTGGCTCCCTAGCCAACTAAGGCTGCAATGACCCTCGCACCACTAACCTACCACCTATCTCGCCTTCCTCCCCGCACCGCTCCTCTGCCCGCCTGATAGCGGCTGTCGGTCAAAGCCACACTCTGCGCCCACCTAAGGCACGTAGCTCAGCCTGCCCAGCCAAGCGGACGCGCCCACCCTCCCACTACCACTCTGATCCCCACCTCTCCTGCTCCTTACCCTCATGCGACGTCCCCCAGTCTCTGTACCGAGCGCCCTAATCTCCGAAGAACATACATACGACGGCGGCACCGTGCTGTCAGCCGAGAATATTACCGCACTATCACGCGACACACCCACCGCCGGATGGCTGCCCGAGCTGTCCCCGGACTCTTCGATATTTCGGTTCCACCACATAACGCTCCTGATTTCTGAGATTTCACTGTAAGATTAGTAATTCAGCCATGAAAGGATATCGACTCGCATGAAAAGTGACGGTGAAAGTATGATCAGAGAACGAACCACAACAGCTATAGTGGGGGGAAGAGATCACTATTAGAGAAACGGTGGGGAAGGTCTTTCAAAGAGAGAAGAACAGAGACAGCCGCTGCTCGGCAGATGCTATTGTCGCTGAAACTCTGGGTCCCACAGACGTACATCCGTAGCGCACAGGCAGATCCGAAACCTGCCCATCCCTTACCACGGCGCATTGAACTATCCATTCAACAAGAAACCGACACACTGATCACCTACCTGCTCCTGCTGACTCAACCCCACACTCGCTCTCACTCACTCCTGACCCTACATCCCCCTGACTCCCCCCCTCCTACTCCACCTCCAGCAAGTCAGTCGGGCCTACACTCGCCCACACACCACCCACCCCTGCTCTCTCCGCCCATTAACCTCTACTGAATGACGTCGTCTGCCCCACACCAGAGCCAGTCGGACCACTCCCACCACCCACCCTCCTACCCACCCCTTTCCTCCCCCACCGTCCCAGGACTTCACCGCCTGACCCCAACGGCGCTCCACCCAGACCCCCCCCAGCCCACCCTACCCCACTTCTATCTCAACCGTCTGAACGCCACCCACCTGATCGGTTTGTAGCCGAGCCCCCCCGCACCCCCCTGCGCCCCCGGCTAGCACCAGGCCCGCGAGCGCGGCTACCTCACCTCGCGATCCTCCTCGACTGACCACTGATTGGACCCGACCTCTCCCACAGCCCTGCCCTCGACCCAACACAACCCACCAAAGCCATGACCTCTATGAAACCCTGCCCCTACTCCACCGCCAGCGCGCATCTCACCCCCACTCCCCCCAACCCCCTACCCTCACGGCACACGCGCCACCCCCCCCTCAGGCTCCCGCGCCCACCCCTCAACAAGCGACAAACCAGAGTGCCCGCTCTACTCACACCCCACCACCACCCACCCACCGGCCCTCCCTGCACTAAGATCCCCATGATTGACCGCCCTATAGGACCCCACCCGTATGACCGAGCGCCCGGTGGCGCGACAACCAGCTCCGACACTGTACCCCCCCCCCACTACCCCCATCTGACACACCCTCCCCTCTGGATCCCTCGCCTCCCTTATTCCCTGCCCCCCACTGATGACCCCACCTGCCTGAACCTCCCCTCATACGGAGGCCGCCTGAGACTCCTCCCCCAGCATCCCCAAGCCGATGATCATCACCCGTCGTACGATTTCGGCCCCGCCCCGCATCTGACCGGAGCCCACCCGACTTCCAGAACCACAAGATCATAACCGGCACAACTCCCACACCTTGCTGCTCCCCCTCTGACTCCACCAACCCCCCCCACATCCACCCTCTACTCCACCCACTGTCAATTTCATCCCCGGCACTCCCCCCTCGAACACCACCCACACCACCCGAGCTCCCCTCGCGGACTCGCGGCCGGCCTACCCACACGTCACTACCCTGGCTCCGAACTACCCGTCGCCTGATACCCACCCAACCACCCCCCAGCTTCCTGCGACCGCTCCGCGCCCTTTGGCTGACCCCACCACGCTGACTGCCACATACCCCACGCCTCCATCGACAGCTGCCGGTGATCCACGCCCTAGGACTGCCCCCCGACGACCACTCCCTATCCTCGCCCTGACGCTCGCCACGCCCTGCTGCCACTGAAGTCCGCCACACCTAGGATCCCGAAGGATGCCCCTGTCCAAGCCATACTCCCTCTCGATGACCTCCCCGCGACCCCATCTGCGGCTCCCCCCATAAGGATCCACCCCTCCTGCTCCAGCGCACGCTCCCTGGCCCAATCCCACATCGCGGGCACCCAGACCCCCCCCGCAACGCTTGCAAAACGCGCCCAACCTAGGTACGCCCCCGCCGGCAACGAACCCAGGCCTCAGTTCAGGAAACCCTCAGCCGAGTGCCAACCACTGCCCGGGACCCCACTGCTGCAAACCCATCGCCCCCCAACAGCCCCTGCGATCCCCACAGAGGCTCCCCCATGCCCTGAGCACCCCACTCCACCGGACGCGAGCTGTCATGACCAACTCGGTCCCCATCTGCGAGAGCATATCTGAATGCTCCTCTTCTACCCCCAACAGAACGGATCATTACCCTTCCCAGTCTACGATGCCCCCTGATTTCCCCCCCCCCCCCCCCCCCCCCCCCCTCACCACATGTCCTTGGATGCCTACACCAAACTGGATCGCGCACCCCTCGTAACAACTCCTGAAAGACGGACTCCGCTCCCTCGACCCACCCTCTAAAAGACATAACGTCCATAGCAATGTTGGCCCCACCGACCTCCGCACACTTGACGGTCTCTGCGCTGGCGCCTCTCCGCGCCTGCTCCCACCACACCCCGCCCACCCCGGCCCTACTGATGACCCCCGCCCTCCCCGTCCCTGCCTGCGTCGCCGGACCCCCCATATCCCCTGCACCTCCTGACCACCCCCCGCCTCCCGCTCCGCTGCAACCCCACTCCCCAACACCCTGCCCCCAGATCCCCCTAACAACCTGACCACCTGCAACCCTAACGTCATCCCCCACCCTGCTACCCCCCGCTGAAGCACCCGCACTCCGCCCGCCAGCCTGCTCTAAACCACCTGGACTACTCCCCTCGGCTGCAACCCTGGACAGAGAGACTATGATCGCACACCTACCCTCCCTCTGCTGCGGAACTTTCTGTTCGTCACCGGGGCCCTCATACCTGCTAAGCGCCCCTTACCCCCAGCGACTGACTCGCAAAACACTGCAAAACCAGCTCTGACTCCTCATGACTGACTCCTCTAGTATCTAGTACCTGAGTCCTGGCAGCAGCTTCTTCGTTGAAGAAATTAAATCCTTTTCTACAAACTGCGAATGACACTCGGTCGAAGTGGTATTTAAATCTGAGGAACTTTACATGCTCTCCCCTGTCCAGCAACTTTGCTGCACGAAAACACAATTGCGGCTCTCTCCTAGATTTTTATGCACCAGAACAGAATATTGGTGAAAGCCCTCATTTGCACCGAATCAAGCTCTCCCTGGATCGGGACCAGCTTTTTCTCTAATAGACACTGGTTCATTGCGCATGAGATCACCTTAGGTAACCAAATTGATATATACTTAAATGATGGACTATTTTCGTGAGTCCAATGTAAGGATAGGCATTAACCTTCTCCAACGTTTGCCAGATGACACTCACTTATTGTACGATGGTCTTGAAACCATGTTGGAATTATATTCAACCGCCTCACTGCCTATAGTTTCTTGTCAAAACACACTGTCGACATGACAACGGTGATCAACACCAAGGCCCAATGGGTTCACTGGCCGTCCAGTCCGCTGATTCTGCCTTTTTTGATGCCCCCCAATGAGGGTGGTGTTCTGCGCACTTTCAAATCTACTGCTGTTATCGTACATTCAACGAGCCAATCATTATGACACTTTCTTGTTTGCTTATTCGATCTAGAACATAAAACAGATCTTCTAAGTGCCCGGCACCTCACGTTGCGGCATTGCTCCTTTCCACAAGGACATTCCTGCACGATGAGCAAGTTGACCTTCACCAATCTGTACTCGCAACTCATCGTGGAAACTGACCGCCCGCATCTTGACACATCTTCGCCACCTGGAAATATCGCGCGTCACTCCCTTAACATTGACGTACGCTACTGACACAAGGGTCAAACCATTATAGCATTTCCCGCAAAATTGCATGAAAGGTCCAAATTTTGCAAAGAAGGACGCAAAACTTTGCGACGAAAGCGTCCAAAACATTTGTAAGCGAAAGTCCAAGAATGTTGACAAATCCCTGTGTGATCTCACCAGCCACTCCGAGCCTATCCGCTGAACCTTTAGTGTGTCGCGGGTCATCGGGCCTGGCTGCCATACCGGTTCGGTGCCCGGTACGTCTGGCGCAGGCAAGGTCGAGTGCGCCCAGCCTCGTTGACTGGGTGAGGCTTTGTGAATCGAACTGCTGAGAGGCTTTGCACCTCTGACCCCCGTACAAACCGGACTTGTATGCGCCCCCACCAACATCGTCCAAAACGATGCGGTTCATCATATTGGTCTTGAGCGCAATAAACAAGCCAGATAAGGCATAGCGGAATCATAGCGCACACGACCGAACCATGTACGATGATACGAACGGTGCTGGTCGGCGTATCATCATCTCGCGTTCAGCCCAGGAGTATCTCATCAGCCTGCGTGACCCAATATTTTGGCCCCCTTATCCGCGGCGCTTTCGTCCATCGCACGGTGAATGACCTGGCCAGCCTCCGTGTGGCAACTATGAACTAAGTCAAATAATCACAACATGCCTTACCTCCTGGACTTCGTCGTTCTTCTTGTGTCAGTATCCGAGTACTACGTAGGCGCCGCCGGCACGTAACCGGATTTTGTCGGTACGGAGAGATGTAGATGTTATCCTGGATTTGTCGATCGCAAGGGACTCAACTCTTACGCTACGGGAAATTGCGGGTACGTGCTCAGGCGCAAATATTGGACACAAGGGGACCTTTCGCAGCAAATCAACAATTCGCACAGGGCGCCTGGGCTGGTCTAATTGCTGAAACTATGATGAACCATCTTATCAGGTTCGCACGATGGGAGAATGAACAATGGATGCGAAACCAACCCAGGGATACGCAGGGAATTCGTTCAGCAGTTTTTCTCCAGCTTGAGACAGTGCGGCAAGTACTTTATTTGGATGATCGAAGCGAACCTGTCAAAGTTGACGGCCAATGTTACTCGGTGGTCGTAGCGCCCTGAGGTCAGTGAAGTGGCATGTATTTTATCGGTGCATTCACGATGGAAGGGGACATGTGTCGATGAACCCACCCGGAAGTACCATTCACAGGTGCCTCGTATGTCTCTGCGCAAATCGGGCTACGAACGCCCTTTCGAAAATCTGTAATCGGGAGCTGGAGCTCCGGCAAGGTTGTCATGATATGTGATAATGCACCACTGTCACACGCCGATTGGATAAGAACTGTCGTCAGTGAGGATGGGCCGCTTGGAGTATACCAGTAAACCATGAATGAGATTGTGTCCCATAACATCATCACGTTCCTCAATCCTGATACGAGAATGTTGGAGCAGGTGTGGAGAAGGCCTGTGTGAAGAATGAGATGAGAATGCACTACGCGGAACTTCTGCGCAGAGGCATCGCCCAGAACACGTAGGATCGTAGATGGAATGGAAGGCTGCAGTTCCTTGAAACGACATTGCCCCAGACGTGAGCACACCGACGGAATCGCACCGTCTTGTGGGATGTCGTAATGTCTATTCGACATTTATGGGTG